GCCAGTCCTTCTAAATATTGAACAACCACTTTCTGTTGTATGCACAGTGGCTTAAGCAGGAGCATGGCAATGGTATTCCATAATTCTCAGTGTGTCTTCTTTAGTAACAAAGTAATACCAGTAATGCTTTAGATTTGTTATTTATGAAGAGCAAGGGACAGGTTCTAGTCTTTGGTAATTCCGCATATTACTAAATCAGTAATAAGCAATCCTGCTTCTGCCAGTCTTCTGGTACATGAACATAATAGAACTGGCATTATTGACAACAACATGGAACTCTTTAAAATTAAATTGGGTTATCAAAATTTCATAAATTATGATTTAAACCATATTGGATATTCTATTTAGATATTTCCTGTTTTGTCCAACCTAACAATGCCATCTCCTCACTCCCCTACCATTCTGGCTATGGGCTTCTGTTCTGACTGCTTTTTCAATAAATATTCTGTTAAAAGGCAGTTGATCATGTGCTAGAGATTTGATATAATAATTAAGTGCAAATATATGTTTCTTAATGCAAGAAAAATTATAGCAAAAAGCTGAAAGCCAGGATAAATACTACAGAATAAAATATGCTATTTTGAACACTTTTATATTTAACATTGCACACTAAAAATGGAGTGAAGCACTGTATACAAGTGCAAAGAGCTTTCATTTTCCATTGTTCAGTGACTGATAAGCTAAACATCACAGCTTTTGTTATCCTGCCAAAGGAATAACACTTTACACAATGCATTTCTCAAAATGCATTTCCTTGCTGCTCTTCCTAAGTGTATAAAACAGCCTTGACTAGTATATTTGCCACTCAAAACTCCTTATGAACTCAGAAAATTTGTTCAGTATATTTGAACAACTGGCATATTTAAATCGGTAGTTTCCCTTGTTTGTATAAAATCTGTTGAGGCTATATAACATTTTTAGTGATGTAACAAAATGGTGGCAGCAGTTTCGGGAACAGTAATCAGTTGTCTACCAGTTTTTGAGCTACAATGAATTAAAAGACTAAATTATACTTTTTTACAAGTATATATTCATGAAGCAAATAATATCTTGCAGAATTTCATCATGTTCCACTTGCACTCTGTTCTTGTACACTTTCAATACCAGTGTACATAAATACAACAGATTCTGCTTAGTTTCATCCCAAGAATCAAACTGCATACTATGTACAATGTGTATCATCAGGAAGCCTGACAGTATGTTTAGTTTTTTAATTAATAAAAGGCTTTAGGGCTAGGAGGGTTTGTTTTTCATCAGGTCTTACAGTACATTGGTAGATTTAATTCTTTGTGATTCTGTCATGGTCCTGATGAAAATAGCCCCCCTACCACTGCTATAAAAAAATTAAAGCTTAAGGGCAGTATCTGTAACTAGTGCTAAGCCCCCATTCTGAGATTAATAGAGCAATTACAGATGGATTTTCATCTAGATGCAGCAGGAGAAGACCACTTCCTACACACTGTGGACTGGCTTCTCTCGTGACGGATATTTGCTAAAACCCAGCACACTGATGGACTTCCCTAATGAGTCATAACAGCACAATAGGGATTTGGTGCTTCAGTTAGGAACTCGAAGAAAGTGAAAAGTCTTATTTCTGGAATGAGGCTGGAAATTGTACAGGAGATCACCACTTACTTTTCCTGATACAGAAAAGGAAGTTTTTGCTCATTTGGGATTTGCTTTATGAAGTACTAAATCCTTGTGCAAATAGCGAGTCCCACTGGTTCAGCCTGGCTGGATACTACCCAATGGCCACTATAATTATACTGGACTTCCCTTTTTCCCGGATATGAAACTTTTTTCCAGGGTGGGCTAATATATATATACATTCTATGCAATGTATATACTATCATCCCAAATACAGACAGAGTTCTGGGAGGGGTTACAAGCTTAATCAAACTAACTTTTCACTGGGCAAGTTTTATGTCACACTGATCGTGAAACTGGTATTTTCCTAATGATTTGGCCCTGTTGCTTTCTTACAGCAAAAGTGATGTTAAAAACAAAGCTTTCAAAAGCAAACCCCTGCTGATTTTCAAATAAAACTATTCATTTCAGCTATCTGGTACCCACAGTTAATTTCCTGTTCACATATCTGTTCATAGCGTAAAGGCAATTTTTCAGAAATCCTTATCATACATCCCCGATAAATCCACTAAAACTATTTAATCCTAGCTATTAATAGTACTGCCAGATCAAATATAAAACTGTCTTAAAAATCAGTTTATTTTCTTCCTGTGAGTTATCAGGAAGTGCCTTTATTATTGCAACTTTAAGCTATGGACAGGATTTATAAAGAAGTCCTCTGCATTACTTTGATTACTAAAGAAATATGCTCTAAAAGCTCTCTATATCTGTATAACATAATAAAGTTTGCACTTCATTACATCGGCATTAACCCTCTCCCCGCCTGTATAAAACAGAAACTAAACAATACCACTGATGCCTGAGTGTTATAATACTGAATGACACTGCTCTCTTTGAAGTAATGGGAAGTGACGCACAAGGCATAACAATTAGTTTAGACATGAATAATATGAATTATTAACTGAAGTGTACACTTCTGAAAAACACTGTGTTTACAATAATCTATCTAAACGAGAAGTGAAAAACTGAAAATATCTATGTTTAAAGAATGGCCAAAGAAATGAAACAGTTTTATTACCAGGAGGAAGACTAAATGTGTGCAAATTATGTAATAAAAAAGAAAAAACAAATCAGGATCCTGGAGAAGAAAATGTGTTGAAAATAGTTTTCTCTCTCTTTCTTTAACAATTCACTAGGGATTGCATTTGTTTAATCTCTGTTCATTTTAACAAAGCTTGCTAAAGAGCCCTATTTAAGGATGATCAAAACATAAGAAAAACCAGAAAACAATATTAATTGAAACATTTACAACTCATTGAGTTACCAAGGCAATACACAACTTTAAAAACAAAAATTATTTGCTTGGTGGGTGGCATACAGGCAGTTTAATCCTAAACACATTTCCCTAAAAGCAACTCTACTGATTTAAAATAAAATTTGAAATGAACATGTTTAGGATTGGAGAAATAGTCATATTTACAAGGAAGAAAGAGAAACCTATATATGTAAAACTACTATTTATACCGTTCATCCAAGTTCCTGGACAAACTGAGATGACAATTTTAATTATTAAAGCAATTCCCTATTTAGTTAGAATGGCCATGGCCCAGCTCAGACAATCATGATGGCTTAAACAAGCCATAGGCTGCTTTTAATTTATTCCAGGTTTTCTGACCATTCCAAACAAGCCATCCTGTCCACCTTCAGATAGCACAGCACATGCTTGACTGTAGCAAGCCACAATGTCAAACACTGTTTGTGAATTCTCTAATCCCTCACTCAAGTCTTATGGAGAACTCTGTGCAATCTCATACTAGTCTAGTTAGAAATATCTCCACTGAGTTCCAAAAGGATTATTTTCAGGTAAATGGGTATAAGATTGCAGCCTTAACAGGAAAGCAATTAGAGTGCACAATATACTTTTTTGATACAAAACCTTGGATTCTGCAAAATTCAGTATTATAGCTATGAGGGAAGTGGTTTAGTGATTAAGAAGCAGAGGATGAGACTCCCCCAACTGCAGGAATGTAGGCTAAGATGGTGACTGTGAAGTAGCTTGTAGACACGCAAGAGTAATAAGCTGATGACTAACGCATCCCGAATGGATGAGCTAATTATAATAAACAGGCAATGTCTGTAGAAGTATGAAGTAGGAGGAACTAGCAAAGTATGAACTAGGCAGACTAAGAAATTATAATGTCCTAGTGCCTAGTCAATGAGGGAACAGGGGACAGACATAAGCAGAAGGATCGAGGGATAAGAACTGCTTTGTGTTTGTACTTCAGAAAGATTCTGATGGAGGAGGCTCTTTCCATCTATTGCAATAAACAAAGGAATTGCCTCACTCTGTTGGTAGTCTCAGTGATTTAACTTGAGGAGAAGCATTTTTGCAGCTTTTGCATAATGGCTGCATCTTTCAAATCCACACTGACTATCTACAGTAAATCCAACTGTGAAGCATCAAATAATGAAAAGACAACTCTAGTTAGAACTCTATGCTTCTTTACTCAGAAATAAATCGCAGTGAGTTCAATGGCTTTTATAATTAATAAATAGTGACTGTTTATATTAGGATTGCAGCCAATGTAGCTTAAGAAAGAGACATTTAATGTACAAAAACAATTATCATGTTTTATGAAAGCATTCAAAATATTGAAGCACATCCAACTGATATCAGTGAAACTATTTGTTACAGCTTGTATATGTTTAATGTACATGTTCAGTAAAACATCACCAAATATTAGCACTAATTCAGAACTATGATAGAAGCTAGTAGAGGCCATCAAACTGATGGTTACCAATGCAACATCTGTATTCCAGTTAAGATTATGTTTGGATTAGACCAAGACTATAATGGCTCCAGGAGCTAATCAATATTTTTTTTTCAGTAATCTGATTATTATGACTTGGATTGAGAGAGCTATGAAATTAATCAGCACATGTACAGAGGATTGGTGAAGATGGGTTTTCTCTATTCAATATACAACATAAAAAAAGATTCAGAAAAAGAAGGGAATAGGTAAATCTAAACAGAATATAAGAAGAAGTTTGAAACATTTTACTATTGCAATGTTTATTTTTATTTATTTATTTAAATTAAAATATAGCATTGCTTCCATTTTGATCTGATTTATCTCAGTGGAAGCTGAGCATTTAGTCTGTTTTATAGTTTAAATTTTGGATAACACTTTAAACTTTTTTTTGCTTTTTCTTTTTTATCAAGTCATAATTGTGAGTTGGATTTGAAGTGAACATGAAAACTGTACTTGACTTCCCCAGCCCAAATCTATGAAAACTACTATAAACTGACAGTCTAATGTAGTGACTTATAAATTGTTTTAATATGAATATACATCTTTTGTACATCTTTTGTTCTATTATTTTGAAGTATTTATTTTGTGTTGGACTCTTACCTTATAAACTGACGCACCTCCAACTATCCAAATCATGTCTACCTTACTTGCCAACTCAGGTGATTCTATAAGATCAAGTGCCTCATCTAGACTTTTGGCCAGGTAATGGGCTCCTTTAGGAATTTCCCTAGAACAAGCAATTACAGATCGTTAGCCAGATATCTGAACACAATATTTGAATGCAGCTATATCAGAAACAGTTCCCTTTTTTGGCTCTAAAATATTGCTACAGTTTTAGAATTTGAGTAATATGCTGTAATGAACACACATATGCTTAGATACAAACATCTCAATCAACCCCATCTTAAAGGTCATCCACATGACGTTTGCTGTGTGCATTTCCCCAGATATCACATGCCATTGTTCTATACAACTTATCTCATGCAGCAGTTGAACATCATACATATTTCTTATATAAAAGTAAAAATACCATCATAAAGTTTACACATTTTCTAGCATTTCAGCGAACAATTATCTCTATTGCATTTCTGCCTCAGAGATCCTACTTATCTACAGCCAATCTACAGGCAGACTAGGGTCAAAGTATTTGTAACCCTGATGCTGGAATAGCAAATATTTTAACCAGACACAAAAGGACAGATTAACTGCCCTGGTATAGGCTCATTATATTCAGAGCACATAAAAATAAAGAATCCAGAGAGTTTGGGGTAAAAGTGGTTCAATAAGCAGGCATGAATCTACTCTTTATGAGGCACACTGTTTTCTTGAACCTGCTAGTGCAATCTACTATGAAGTTGCTTAATGCTGTAATAAAAATAGTATATATTTACTTAGTAACTACATATTAATCCTAGCACAGCTGTAAGCATATTTGGCTTCTATGTTATTCTCTTACTAGTTTAAAATGACAGATGTGTAGTTTGTGGCCCTCCAAATGCTATTAGATGAGAAGTCCCATGAGCCCCAGCCAACATAAGTTAATTGTGAGGGAAGAAGGGAATTGTAATCCAGAAACATCTGTAGGGTCATATCTTGGTCAATCTTCTATAATTGTTCAAAAGCCAACGGCTATCTAATCGACAGGTTAACATTATGTTAAATTTCAAATCTGTCCCATCAAATCAAGGAAATACTGGAAGCAAGTATTTATAAGCAAACACTATAACATTCAAGGTGAAGAGAACATGATTATTACTACTAGTGAATAGTTTTCACAGGATGAGGACAACTATCTTTGGTACCATTGTTAAAAGTTGCTGTGCTTCCACTCAGTTTAACACTGCCCCCTTTATGCTGGTTCAGTTACTGTAGCTGCTTTTTTTAATCTCTCTCCAAGATTATCAAAATAGGCACTTACTTCAGTTCCTTGCTGAGTACTATATTGATTCTACCTTTTAAAGGGCGAGATTGCTCAGGAATAGAGAACCAGGTCCTTTTACCCATTATTACAGCATTTTGTTTTCCTGTATAGAAAAAGATACTTGATATGATGATGTAGTGACATCTAGTGGTGTAATGTTGCCACACAACTCCAGTTTAATCAAGATCTTTAAAGTGTTCAAGTAACAACATTTAAGTCAATGGAAGTCAATACACAGCAAATGCTTGATAGATTTTAACAGAAATGCATATTGTGTTTCACTTATTGCAGAAATGCACACGAGTTAAAGATTTCTCAGTCTTTTTCTGCAGATTTCTCTGCAGTCAACTCATTAATTGGCCCTAACTAAAATCACCCATACTTATTTGCATTATGGGAATAATGATGCTGACTTACCTTGCAGAAATATACATAGATATAACATGTCTGTTGTCTGGGCACTAACAGTGCAATATAAATGCTAAATGTTATTATTAAATCACCTTTTTAGGGAGCAGACCTTATCTAAGAACTTCCACAAAAAATATGCGCAACTAACTGAAGCAGGACTGCAGTCATATAGCACATACAACATCCCTCTTCCTTAGCAACTTGTAGCTTTCTGATACCATCAACAGTATTGCTATCACTAACCTTATATACGCAAATTTTTGAATTATGCTTAGTCCCTAGATTTGAAAGTAGATTCCATGTTTTTTATCTGATTTTTACTTTCTGAACATAAGAAAAAATATTACTCTTGACCAATGTTATCTATCAGCTGAAGTAATATATAAACAATTTCTGGTAATTAAAAGAAATGGGAAAGCAAGCAAGCTCCCTCTCAGCCCCACCCCCAAAAGTGAGAAAATCAATCACCATTACCTTCTTTTGTAGCAGTCTTGGTCATTTTCTGAAAATACTTAAACTCATTCCTGTTAAGAAGCAAACAGGTTGAGATGATATCACCTTCATGGATACTAATACAGTTCCCTCCTTTGTTTCCATCCTCTAGTCCTTGGAATCTGTTTTGGTAAATTCTGCCACTGGAGCTCACACAAGTTTAAGCTGTTTTCTGCTTTTTCATACTAACATTTTAATTTTTATGTATGCAATATAACATTAAGTGCATGCTGTTGACTATTATTTTGTTTCATAAGCTATTAGAAATCTGAAGTTCACAAGGTATCAAGATATTTTGATAATGTTAAATGAAAGAAAGCAGTAGTCCAGCAATAGAATGCACTCCCAGGACAACCTGCACTGTACCTCCTAAACTAACCTGCTGTTCAATTGTTGTCCTCAGATGTGCTAGAGGGCACTGTCCCATCATCACTGTGGAAGATTTAAGTACCACACTGCTCAAGTTCTATGTGTGGAAGGGAGACCATTTTATCCTTCACTTCAGGCAGCAAAATAACAGGCAAGATGCCATTAGATCGCTGCAGGTTTTTTCAAATTCCCACCTATGAGGTGACAAAATGGCTCCACTGCTGTACCTAGGACTTGATCCTCCTCTGCACCTTGGAGCTGGTGCATTAAGCAAGAACGTGTAAAAGAATAAATTTGGAGGTATTCCAAGAGGATATCGATGCTACCAAGATACAACATATGCCAGTGGCTCAGGCTCCTTCCCTCCAGCTTCAAAAGACCACACTTGCTTTGCAGTGTGGAGTGACGGGCAATGTTCACCTCCATGCTCTGCGTTCAGGGGGCCGCAGGAATCTCGAAAAGATTATGCCCCTAAATACATGGACTACAGGTAGCAGCAGCATTTGGACCTTGATCAGCTGTCTTGGTTTCACCGCAAAACTCTGACGTTGATTGATCGCCGCCTAGACGAGTTGGGCCAGGAGGCCGCTATCTGGACATCAATGGCATTGTTGCTGGGGGAGGGGGGAGGACTCGACAGTATACCTGAATCAAGCTGGAATTGGCACCGATAATGGCTTATAATTAAGTACTGTGTTTTAGTTGCGCTGTCTTGGTCTTTTTTAGATAACGTTCACTGCCATTTTAGCAGGTAGACGATACAGCAGAAACTACAACACCAAGCTTACGCTGCTACCATTCGATACGCTCACGCTGCATAAAGGGAGCAATGCATGCCGGGAATTGTAGTCTTCATGCCCTCGCTCAAAGCGCGCGAAGGAAAACCAGGCATGGGAACAGGTATTTATTTACCTGAGAGGAGGCCAAGGGAGCGTTCCGTTCTTCCCAATGCCCATGTTCTTGCTCACCGCCGCGATGGAATTTAGACAGTGCACCATCACGCCTTCCTGTTCCTTGCCGGATCCGCTCGCAGAAACGAGACGCTCAGCTTGGAGATTGAAATTTGCCCGCGAGAGGAGCAAAGTCCACCCTCTACGCATGCGCACGGTGACGCGCCCCTCCAAAGCGGGGAATAAAGTAGACTAAAGCTACTTCGACGAATCCAAAGTCCGAACGTCTGGCGACCTTTTTCGCACCGCCCCTCCGCGTGCGCGCTTCTGTCGCCGCGAGGAGGCGGGGCGAGCAGTCCGGCAGCAGACTGTCGCTCGACGAGAAGCAGTTTGCGCGTTTCTTCTGCTGTGGTGCCTCCTCCCGAGTTTGTAATGCCGCGGGGGCGAAGAAGGCCCAGCCGTGGCAGCGGGTCCCGCGGGCAGCCGGTGCTGAGTAGATTCTTCCAGCCGGTGGGATGCCTGCTTTCAGCCGCTTCTGCCTCGGCTCCTCTTTCTGCTGCTGTCAACTCGGATGAGGAGAGAAGTGAAGGCTCTTTGGCAGTCCCCGCGGTTGCCCTGCAGACGGTGCGCACCCGGGATCGGGCTGATGGGGGAGCGGGCGGTCCTGTGCGTGTGTCTGGCTGTGTCGGTGATCTAAGGTTGCCCTCTTTTCCTTGTGCCAGTGAAGCGGATTCCCATCATCTGCCCACACCCATTCAAGTGTGGTTTCTCCTAAATTAGCCTTTTCCAGCTCGAATCTCTACAGAGATGCCGCGGCTAGCTGGGGGATCTTGGGAGTTGTACTCCAACACATTTGGAGAGTGCCAGTTGGAGAAGTCTGCCCGAATTCTCTTTCTGGAAGTCTACAAGGCCAGTCCTTCTTCACACCCCACAAGTAATACCTTTGGGGCTTCCATGGTGACAGTACTCTTCCTAAATATAGTTCGTGCCTTAATGTAATTTTGGGGTGTTTGGACTCTTGTTGAGGTCACTTTCCATTCTAATCTCTGCATATTTCCATTGGTGGTAGTTCTTGTTTTGATTTTGTTTTTTACAGGCAGAACCTGAGCACAGCACTTGCCCTGTAGATCAATGCCAAATGATAATGGCTGAGGCCCCATAGGTGAGGATGTTCAAAGATAGGCTAGACATGCACATGGTGAGCATGTCATGAGCGGAGCTGGAGGAGCAGGGGTCAGACTAGATGGCCTAGGAGACCCCTTCTGACTCTTTCTGTTTCTATAATCAGAAGTGGTATTAGACAGTCTAAGTGACTGTAGAGAACTGCTTAACTACTTTGAAAAGTTCTTTGTTGAAAACTTGCAATATGATTTTGACATTTATATTCTGGCTATTTTAACACAGAAGTATCCCCTAAGATGAGAACAAAATTGATTTGACATCTTATTCAGGGTAGACAAAAGAAGATAATCTGGATTAGACAAATTAATAGAGGACAGATCTGTGGTTATTGTCTGTGCCAGCTAAGTCAAACCATCATGTTCAAAGGCAGCATGCTGTTGAATATTAGCTCCTGAGGTGCAGCAAAAGAAGGACTATTGTCTTCAAGCCCTGGTTGTGAGCGTCCAAGAAGCTTCAAATTGACTAGTCTGGAAAGCAAAGATGTGGACAACATAGACACTCATCTCATCTAATAAAGTTCTTCTAAGGAACTTGTAAAAGAATAAATATTTTGCCCTTAGAATAAATCTATAGAACACTGTACTTGTTGGTTCTAGATTTTTTGTGCTACAACTTTCAACATGTCCAGTATAATGAGTATAAAACTCATTGTATTTTGAGCTCTGTTTTTGGCCCAAGCTTTAATTACTTGGTATAGTAAAAACTGTGCATCTTTTACTAGTCATTTTACATTCATTTTATGAACTATTTTATTGTTGTATTATACAACAAAGATATGTTATCTTGTAGGTTGATACAGTTTTTTCTCCTCTTGGATATATATATTTGCCTTCTGTTTATATTTTAATTTATTTTATAGTACAGATAAATTTAAATTGCTATTCTACAGAGTCATGAACCCAGTGGGAAGAAGAGAAAAGGTGTGGAAATTAAAGAACATACAGATAATTGTTCAGAGTCTCTGAAGAACAGAAAAAAGGAAGAGGGAAATACAATGAGTATGCTGAACACTGGTGAGTTTTCAATAAAATGTATGGCTATAATAATAGTTTGGGGTTTGTTTTAGACATCCCCCATCCCCAGTCATTCAGTGAGTAGATTCCAGGAATGAAACTCCTTTTTTCTACTGTAGGAGTACTGAGACTTTCCACTTTTATTGTAATGTAGCTTTCCATCCATCCAGAAAGTTCAGGTGAGACAGATAATTCTGGAACGGTATCCACTTTTGTAACCTGAAGTTGCATGGGATTATGGAACATTTGAGCAGCAATCCCCTGTGGAGGAGGGCAGGTCACATTCCAGTGGGACAAAGCTCATGAAACCAAGGTTCAATTTGGATGCCCAGAAGTACTTCCTGACAGTTAGGACCACTAGGGTATGGAATGGGCTTCCATGGGAGGTGATTGAACCCCCATCCGTGAGGGTATTCAAGGATAGGCTGGACATGCACATGGTAGGCATGTCATGAGCAGAATTGGCTGGAGCTGGGGGTCAGACTAGATGGCCCAGGAGGTTCCTTCTGACTCACTCTGTTGATCACAAATAATGTAACTAGGTTTTTATATATAAATTTAAAGTATAAACTCTAGGTTGTAAAAAGCTTTTTAAAGAAAAAGTTTCTTGGGAGTTATTCAGATCATAGTTTCCTCATTCCATGTACCTGTGTGAACCTAATACCATCTTCTGATGTTACTGTGCATGGAGATGAAGGGAAACAATTAATGTTTTACTAGGGACTTAGAACCCCCAATTACGTTGTAATACTAACTCCTTGATATGGACTGTATCACATCATATTATTATTAATGAGAGTATTATAAAGATACAGTGTCATCAGTGTCTATGACACTGCTTAGTGTACAAGAGGACACGTCTCTGTCCCAAGGAGCTTACATTTTAAAATCTGCCTTAAGTAAATACCAGAGGAAGGGCATGGTAGCAAAAGCAATGATAATCAGGGATGCAGTATGTGGTTACTTCTTTTATATGTGCCTCGGCTTAGTCTCAGTGAGAAAGCTATTGGAAATAGGGAGTTTGATAGAACAAAGTCTTTCTATAAAAGGTTGGTTTTGATGAGGCATTTGAAATGCCACCCAGAACACCTGTTTGATACTACCTTTCTTACTTCATTCAAATGCCTCATGGACTCCAGTTGTGGGCACACCAGAGTTGTATAGAATGGTAGTAATACATCTCTTGATCTAAAAGCCACACTTCTGGCTATTGTCGTTCGCCCTCTTAACCACCGCATCACACTGCTGACTCATGTTTAGCCTGCAGTCAACCAGTCCCTCGAGGTCCCTTTCATAAGTGCTGCTCTCCAGCCACTTATCACCTAACCTGTACTTACGACACCTATTCCTATGCCCCAAGTGCAAGACCTTGCACTTATCCACACTGAATGCCATCCTGTTGTCTCCTGCTCACTTCCATAGTCTGTCCAGATCCTTTTGAATCTGGAGTACCTGCTCCTCAGTTGTGGCCACTGCTCCAGTTTTAGTATCGTCTGCAAATTTGATCAGCAGACTGTTCACCCCTTCTTCCATGTCGTTAATGAAAAGATTAAACAGGATCGGCCCCAGGACAGAGCACCCCGCTTGACACTGGCCACCATCCCGATGATTCCCCGCTAATGTTTACCTTCTGCTTTCAGTCAGTCAACCATGCCCTAATCCACCGGACAGTGCTTTGGTGTATCCCAAAACTCCTCAGTTTCTCCACCAGGATATCATGAGGCACTTTGTCAAAGGCCTTGCTGAAATCCAGGTATACCACATCCACTGCATCCCCTCCATCTAGCCCTCTCAAAACCTTGTCATAGAATTCCACAAGGTTTGTCTGGCAGGACCTGTTTTTGCGGAAACCATGTTGTGTGGCTGCCAGCCTCCCTTCCCTATCTAGCATCACTAGATCTCTTGCTATTATGAGCCTTTCCATTGTTTTTCCTACAATGGACATAAGGCTAACTGGTCTGTAATTCCCCATTTCCCTTCTACTACCCTTTTTGAAAATTGGGACCACTGACGCCACTCTCCAGTCTTCTGAAACTTCATCCGTTCTCCACGAAACCTCAAAAACAGAGGCCAGAGGGTGTGAGAGAACCCCTGACAACTCTAAGTACTCTCTGGTATAACCTGTCAGAGCCTGATGCCTTTGTAATGTCCAATGCCCTGAGGAGCCCCTTGACTTCTGGGGGGGGGGGGTGACTGAGTCTGTGCCCCTAAGTCCCTGACCTCATCTAATCTCCTAATGGATGGGTTTGGCAGGAAATGGATGGGTTTGGCAGCAAATATGAAAACTTTAGACTTGGGCATACTGAACTTGAGGTGAAAGAAGGGGATTTTTTTGTATATGTTTGCTAATAAAGGAGAACCAAAGAAATATACCAGCCCTCGAATATGTGCACAAACCCTTGATAGATTGAGAGCGTTCTCTAATCATTCGGAACATTCAAGTAGTACGGTTCGTTCAGAGGAAATCCCTTCTGTGGACTTGAAAAAATGCCAGCATTCTGTGCTTGAAACTAATGAAATGAGTGACACTCCATATCCTCAAGACAATAGTAAGGTAAGCACTTTTCCCCCAATACCTCTTAATTATCAAAGCAATTTAAGGTCAGCAGTATAGTAGTATTAAATTTGTTTAATATTTAAGGTTTTAGTGTAGTAAAGATAATGAGTAGGATTACACTGGTTAGAGTTCAGAGGAGTCTACTGTGCATGAAAGAGAAGAAAAGCAATTTGCACACATTTGTCTCTCTTTACCTTTTTGCTTCAGCAGATCCTTTGCTTAATTTCAAACTTGTTTTTTTCTAAAATATTTTATTCGCTTTAAAATTCAACGCAAGTTAATAGTTTTAAAATCCAGTCTGATTAATAAAATAAGCAATATAAAGATCTTAAAATGTAATCTCCAACTACTTTGAAGCCTTCACTTTCTTTAAAATACTGTTGGATGGTTTGGTGAGGAAAATGTAAGTACATGAATCTGTGGGGGATTTCAACCTGTCTTTAGCCTGTCTCTGTAGTTCATGATTTGTTGGAAAAGTGCATTGTTAATGAAGACATTTGAAGAAATATGCTAAGCTGAAAACAACACCATCCTGATGCATATCATAATCTAAAAATGTTCCCTAAAGTATCAGATTGCTGTTAATCCCAAATCTTAGTTTTCAGTCTTAAGAGTAGATAGTGGAACTAGAACTTATGTGCAGTGAGAGAGAAAATGGGAAACCTCTACTTTGCTGGGATAAAAGGACAAGAAAAACAATAGCTCAATTTTTAGGGAGATCTGTCTCCCTTCCCACTTGCTATTGCTTGTTAATTGTTATGTGATTATTAATGCTAAAGCAATGAACTTGATGGTATGGTTTTCCTTATTCAGTGGGATTTACTCCCGGGCAGGTGGGTATGGGATTGCAGTCCAAGTCATTATTGTTAAGGTTTTCTGAATATACACTGTCCATTCCATGCATCACTAGAAAAATGTCTACAATATTTCATCCACTCCTTATAGAACATCTAATATATTTTGTAATGCAAAAATTTTGTCTGATGGTAAACATATTTTAGTATGTGCATAATGTGCTTAAAATACAAGTTGGGGTCTGGACAGAATAAGTTTCATAAACTTGCAAAAAGTTATGGGAAACAAATAACAAGTGTATTTGTAAGCAGGCAGGCTAGTCAGAACATCTGTGTACCAGAACAGATTTGGGATTTGTAGAAGAGCTGCATCTTAATTCTGCTCTCACCCATATATTTGATAGTGCTGATATAAAGATAAGGGTGTGACTCCTGAGAACTTCCCATCTTCTAAAAATGATGCTAAATAAAAGATGGGCACTATTTGTCTTTGACAGCACAATCTAATCATGTGCTATTAGAGGTTGTTGTTGTAGTAGTTATTACATTGCATTTATGTCCCACTGTTTTCCCTCTTGCGAGGAACCTGTGATGGGTTACAGAGTTCTCCACTCCATGTTTGTCTTTACAACAACAACCCTGTAATTTAAGTTAGGCTGAGGGCCAAAATCACCCAGTGAGCTTCATGCATAAGTGAGGGCTAGAACCCAGGTTTCCCTGGTCCCCAGTCCAACACTAGCACAAACTGGGAAATTTCTGGATTTCATCCTTGACCCTCATTGTGTTCCAGACTTCATACCAAAACTGAATGATCCAGCGTTAATAATTATACTGCCCATGTATCAGGCCTTAAGTTTCTCCTGACGGTGTTGCTCTACTCTAGGTATTTCCCAACAATGACTTGGGCATTCAGCATCTTGTACAATGTCTACCATCGCTGCATCACTATTTTCTGGTTAGTTTAGTGGCTTTAGTTGCTTTTCTGTCCAGTTACTATTTAACAGCTTACAGCATTCTTACCATGTTGTATGGTTTGTAAAGGAACGGTGTTATGAAGTTAAAATGTTGGGCTAAAATTCAGAACTAGATTAATTTCTTAGTTCTTTCTAGAGTGTGTTTAAATGATGTTTTTCTTCATGCTTATGTGCTCTTTTTCTGTTGTAGGAAGAAATCAGGCTAAGTATAAGCCCATATTCTGTCTTGAAAACAAATACTGAAGACACTCAAAATAAATCTGATGCAACTCTGAACAAAACAACCAAAACTGGATATACACCACTTGAGCTCCAGTTCTTAGAAATGAAAAATCAGTATAAGGATGCTATTTTGTTTGTTGAGTGTGGTTATAAGTACAGATTTTTTGGAGATGATGCCGAGGTAAAGCAATTTCATCAGTGCATTGGTGTTGTATTTATCTGTAGCTATTACTGACAGGATGCATGACAGTATAATGTGAAGTTTCTGTAACAGGAATGTAGAGCCTGTAGCCCACATGCAGCCCTTGGCTGCCCGCAGTGCAACATGTCCAGTCAGTGGCACCCTATATATTTTCCCCAGCAGCAAGTAATCTGCACACCAGTTCCACCATAGGACATGTCCTCTCTTTTGGTGTGGAAAAGCTCTTATCTCCAATTTTCCCCTAATTTGGGAAAACAGCTTTTCTCCGTGTGCATTGGATGGCAAGCAGGAAGCTGATGAGTGGTTTATTTTTATTTATTTTTTAAAAAATGGTATTCTGTCCAATTACTTGCGTCTCTGGATGGCTTACAGCACAGATAAATTGACAATCCACTCTGGCTGCAAATTGATAAAATACAACAATAAAATTCAATATTAAAATATATTAAAATATTGATTAAATAAAAAGGTCCTGACCTGGCACCAAAAAACATATAATGACAGCGCCAGGCAGACCTCTGGGGAGCGCATTTCATAGTCGGGGCGCCACTGCAGAGAAGGCCCTCCTCCAGGTACTCTGTCTCCTAATGTCTTTCACAGAGGGTTCCCGGAGGAGGGCTTCTGCTGCCAATCTCAGGGAGTGGGAGGGCAAATAGGGAAGAAGGCGTTCCTTTAGGTATCCTGGTCCCAAGCCGTTTAGGGCTTTATAGGTAATAACCAGCGCCTTGAATTGAGCCCGGACTTCGAGGGGAAGCCAGTGGAGCTGAAAGAGGACTGGGGTTATATGAGAATAACACCCAGTCCCCGACAGCATCCTGGCATCTCTGTTTTGCACCATCTGAAGTATCCGGACTGTCTTCAAGTGCAGTCCCACGTAAAGCACGTTACAGAAATCTAATCGGGAAGTAACCAATGCGTGTGTTACTGTTGCTAGGCAATCTTCCTCCAGTTAGGGACGCAGCTGATGGATTAGCTGAAGCTGAAGGAAAGCGCTGCTCGCCACCGCTGTCACTTGGGCTTCCAAGGACAGCTCCAGGTCGAGGAGCACTCCCAAGCTGTGGACCATGTCCTTTAGAGGGAGTGCAACCCCGTCCAGAGCAGGGCCCAAGTCTCCTACCAGCAGCTCGAATCACCCACCGACAAAACCTCCGTCTTATCTGGATTGAGCTTCAGTTTACTTGTGGTTGCTTCTGAGGTTTATACTGCAGAGGTTTGCTGCACTGGCTGTTTTTGAGAAGACATGCTTCCTTCTGTGTAGACATACAGAAATTTGGTATTTGAGATGCAGTATGTGCCCTGCTAGTGGTGATGGTGTTCATGTGTATGCATGTGCATATCCCAGCAGTCACTGGATGGAGCCCTTTGTGCTGAAAAGGTTTTGCACATATTTTCTACAAGAGAAGGAGGAACTGTATGGATCTGCTGGAGCAGGACAGCAAGGCCAGAGAAAGTTACATTCAGATTGTAGGGGCTTGGGCAGGTTCTATCTAATATTATCCTAAAAGCTTTGGCATTGCATTTATTTTAACAGCATACCTACAATCTAAATATTTGCTAGGTGAAATGCAGTTCACTTTGTATTAATTTTGTCCACATGTTTTCTTAAATGGCATAATTTGTTTGGAGGATAAGATTAATATTGACAAGGGAAAATATTTTTTTTAAGTTCATGTAACAGCCTGCCTTGAACTGCTGAATTTTCAAGTAGAATAATCCATAATTCATACCTAGTAACATGTTAACAAGGTTCTATTTTTTCACTGTTTTGTGGACTGTGTTTTTACCTCTATTTCATGGATACCTGCTCATTAAGTAGGTACTATATACACACAAGAGTTCCATGACATTTGTAGGGCTGACAGAATGAATTAGTAATTATTGTCATGTTTTATAGATTGCTGCTAAGGAGCTGAACATCTTCTGTCATAAAAATCACAACTTTATGACTGCAAGCATTCCAACTCACAGACTATTTGTTCATATTCGGCGTCTTGTAGCAAAAGGATATAAGGTTTGACTCTATCTATTTTTTTACTTGTGTTTAATGGTTCCTTTTTTCCGCTAAATAAATTGTACTGCAGTTTCTCAAATAAATGCCTCTGTCATATTAGTACTTTCTGTTTCAGCTGTCTTGGTTGGTTTGGAGCCCTAAGCTACAATTAAAGTCAAACTATGTATCTAATTTCATAGTTAGTCTTGGGAAAAATCAAAAGGAGATCAAAAATCTCATTGATTTTATTTATAAACTTATCTGTGTTGCTCCAATGCTATTTGATGTCCTTTTCCTTCCAAAGCTACTTCTGTTTTTCTCTATAATTTTTATTAGTATGCCCTTGGCCTAAGAACATAAGCAGCTGTCTTATAGCAAATCAGACTATTTAGTTTAGCACTGTTTTATCTGACTGGCAGAAGCACTCTAAGATTTCAAGGGCTGGGGGGGGGGGGGGGGTTTCCTGACCTGCTGATTGCAAAGCATGTTTCCTATCACTGAGCTATAGCACTTCCCTCATTTCTTCTCACTGTGATTTAATTACTGGTTTTGGCAGACAGTCTGATGGTGTTTACAGATGTGTGTGACTTCACAATTTATTATTTATTTTATTTATTTATTAAAACATTTTTATGCCGCCCCATTCGCCGAAGCCTCGGGGCGGCTTACAACAAAAAATAAAATAACATTTTAAAATACATACAATAAAATACAAATATATAATATAAAACATACACTATAAAACAAGCCGCCCTGGCCAAATAAAATTCAATAATATTAACATTTAAAATACTGCTTAAATAAAAAGGTCTTCGCCTGGCGCCGAAAAACAAATAACGACGGCGCCAGGCGGACCTCTCTGGGGAGCGCATTCCATAACTTAGGTGCCACCGCAGAGAAAGCCCTCCTCCGAGTAACCACCCTCCTAACTTCTTCCATGGAGGGCTCCCGGAGAAGGGCCTCTCCCGCCGATCTCAGGGGGCGGCTGGGCATATAAGGATGTAAGCGCTCCTTCAGGTAACCAGGACCCAAGCCGTTTAGGGCTTTATAGGTCATAACCAACACCTTGAATTGGGCCCGGACTTCAGTGGGAAGCCAGTGAAGCTGACGGAGAACTGGAGTCATGTGAACATAACGTCCAGTCCCCGTCAGCAGCCTGGCAGCTCTATTTTGGACCAATTGAAGTATCCGGACCGTCTTCAAGGGTAGCCCCACGTAGAGCGCGTTACAGAAGTCCAAACGGGAAGTCACCAACGCATGTGTCACTGTCGCAAGGCAGTCATTCTCCAGATAGGGGCGCAGCTGATGAATTAGCCGAAGCTGGAGGAAAGCGCTCCTCGCCACTGCTGTTACCTGAGCTTCCAGTGAAAGCTCTGGGTCGAGGAGCACTCCCAAGCTGCGGACCTTGTCCCTAAGAGGGAGTGCAACCCCATTCAGGACAAGGTTCAATTCACCCTCTCCGAAGCCCGATCCGCCAACCAACAGGACCTCCGTCTTGTCTGGATTGAGCTTCAGTTTATTGGCCCTCATCCAGCCCATTACCTCGGCCAGGCACCGGTTCAGCACAGCCACTGCCTCACCTGGATTGGTGGAAAATGAGAGGTAGAGCTGGGTATCATCAGCGTACTGATGGTTCCGCAGCCCACACCTCCTGATGACCTCTCCCAGCGGTTTCATGTATATGTTGATCAGCAAAGGGGACAAAATGGACCCCTGCGGTACTCCATGGCATAGCTGCCATGGCGCAGAGCCATAGTCCCCCAGCACCACCTTCTGGAACCGGCCATTGAGATAGGAGCGGAACCACTGCAAAGCAGTGCCTCCAACCCCCAATCCCGCAAGCCTATCCAGAAGGATACCATGGTCGATGGTATCGAAAGCCGCTGAGAGGTCCAGCAGAACCAACAGGGACGCACTCCCCCTGTCCTTCTCCCTGCACAGGTCATCATACAGGGCGACCAAGGCAGATTCAGTACCGTACCCGGGTCTGAAGCCGGACTGCAATGGGTCCAGATAATCAGTTTCATCCAAGAGTGCTTGGAGTTGTCCCGCCACCACTCGTTCTAACACCTTGCCCAGAAACGGGATGTTGGCCACTGGTCTATAATTAGTGGCCATCTCTGGATCCAGTGACGCCTTCTTCAGGACCGGTCGGACTACCGCCTCCTTCAAAGGGGCAGGCACCCGACCCTCCCTCAGAGAAGCGTTAACCACTTCCAAGATCCAGGTTCCAATCCCGTGCTTGGAATCATTTATTAACCAAGACGGGCAAGGGTCCAAAAGGCAAGTGGTTGGACGTACTCGCCCAAGCACCTTGTCCACATCATCGGGCCGCAATAACTGAAATTCATCCAATAAATCTGGACCAGACGGCAGCGTTGGTGTCTCCTTTGAAACCTCTGAATCAATAGTGGTGTCCAGCTCGTGACGAATCTGAGCGATTTTCTCCCTGAAATGCCTGGCAAAGTCGTCACAGCGGGCCTTTGAGGGTGGAATCAGGTCTTCCTTTGGACCTGGACGGACCAGGCCTTGCACCACTCGAAAGAGCTCCGCCGGACGGCATTGTGAGGAGGCAATGGAAGCGGAAAAGAATCTCTTTTTTGCCGCCCTCACCGCCACAGCATATGCCCGATAGTGGGCTCGTAAGTGTGTTCGGTCAGATTCATCTCGTGATTTCCTCCACCTACGCTCTAGTCGTCTCCCAACCTGCTTCATCGCCCTCAATTCAGGAGTATACCAAGGGGAAGAGCGGGCTCTGCCCGGTGGGAGAGGATGCTTAGGAGCGATCGTGTCTACAGCCCTGGTCATCTCCCCATTCCACAGTTCGACCAGAGCCTCGACAGGAGCACCCGTCTTGTCAGCCGGAAACTCCCCCAGGGCCTTCAGGAATCCTTCTGGATCCATCCGGCTCCGGGGGCGGACCCACACAATCGGGTCCGCACCCTTACAGAGGGAGAAGTCGCTCTCGAGCATAAACCTCACCAGGAAGTGATCTGACCATGACAGGGGAGTCAAGCATAAATTACTCACCCTCAGACCACCCTCTTCCTGCCCCGTCGAGAAAACCAGGTCCAGAGTGTGTCCCCGTTCATGGGTGGGGCCGGTGACATGTTGAGACAGGCCCATGGCCGTCATGGAGGCCATGAAGTCCTGAGCCGCCCCGGTCAGACTAGCCTCGGCATGGAGATTGAAGTCCCCCAGGACCAACATCCTGGGGGTCCTCAACACCAGGTCCAAGACAGTCTCCGTCAGCTCAGGCAGGGAGACTGTTGGGCAGAAGGGTGCGCGGTACACCAACAGAATCCCCAGTCTGTCTCGGTCGCCCAACACCAAATAGAGACACTCCAGCCCTGGTCTCGAAGGGACCGGAAGTCCCGTGAGGGAGATGGAGGCTCGGTAAACCAAAGCGACCCCCCCTCCCCTCCCCTCCGGCCGTGAGCAGTGCTGGACCAGATACCCGGGCGGGCACACTTGGGAGAGGGCAACATCCCCCCCCTCTCCCGCCCAGGTCTCCGTTATGCAGACCAGGTCGGCCCCCTCATCCACAATCAGGTCCTGGATGAGGGCAGATTTGTTATTGACCGACCTGGCATTAAGCAACAGCACCATCAGGCCGGAGGGGCGACTGACGAGACTCCCTGGCACCCTCTGGCTGGGAGCAAAACCAGAAGTAGGGACAGGTGTCAGCCATCTGTCCCTCCTTCTTCTATGCCGACACGTTAAGCTCCCAACGCTGTTACGTCCCCTGCCCATAACCACATCAATGGCGGCACCCGTGCGCTCCCCAGGAAACATAAGCGGCAGCATGGCCAGGGACGACTCCATAAAAAGATTTAAAATACTACTAAAAACACACACACACACACACACACACACACACACTCACCCCTCACAGCCCAGCAGGAGGGCCTACCATCGCCAAGTGCAAGCCCCTGGCCAGCCCCGCCCCCTGCTCGGCCACCCGAACGGTGGCGACCGTCCTTTGGCCGACGCCCTTTGTAGCCGCCGGCCCTGCGTCCCCCGCCTCGTCCGAAGCACGCCTGCCACACGTGCTGGGGCGTGGCGGAGCAGCCAAGTGGGCGGTGGATGGCGGCGCGGTCTTACGCGGCCAGGCAGCGGCTCCCCTCCGGCGCCGCGCAGTCTTACACAGCGAGGAGGCGGCCCTCCTCCGGCGTAGGCTGCCGGGCGCAGTTGGTGTTGCTGTTGGCGCGCTCCTCCCGCGGGCTTTGTAGCCGCCGGCCCTGCTGCTGCCGGGCGCAGTTGGTGTAACAATAAATGTTACAATAAATGTAACATGTTAACAAATATGGCACACAGACACAATTTTGTAGTAATTTTTTTGCCTTACCCTTGTCCCAAGGCACGTGGTTCCTAGTTTTATGTTGTATCTCTCCAATGCAGCAAAGTTCATGGATAACCTGTTGCACCTCCACTATCCCACCTTGAAGCTGGTTAGGTTCATTAGAAGTGAGATTCTGGGCATTCCAAGTAATTGGAATTTTCACATCACAGGAAGTAGAGACACAAACCATCATGATGCTGCTGTTCACTCTACTTCAAAGTTGGTTAGACATTGCAGAGGTATAGCAGTTTTGTTGACCTTTGCACCTGCTGGGCAGTAGAAGCTTCAGCTACTTGGCACTCACAAATACAAGTTGACACACTTCAGGTATCCTCTTCCAGCTCAGAGCTAGAGAAGGGGAGTGGAGATTTTGTTTTGAATTCGTTCTTTTGCCAGCCATACGTGACAATATATCTGTGGAGTAGATGGAGATCTAATGTGGAAGGAGGCCTTCTCAGAGGAAGGTGAGCAAAACTGTCAGATTCTCAGTGTGATAACAAAACAGAGGCATAAAGACACCACAGTTAATTAGATTAAAAGTCAGTGATACCAAAGAAGCACATCACTGCATGTAGAACATCACCAAACTATATATAATTGACAGAGAATTAGTTTAGCTACATTGAATGTGCTAATTTTGGACTCAGTATAGAAGTTAGCAAATATTGTTATGCTCTAGTAGTCTATCCACATTTCCTTTTTTTCCTTGTATCTTTTCTGTTGAATGGTGAGCTTCAGTATTTAAAATAAATAAAAAATAGTAGCTCCTTTGTTTAAACATGGTGCATTTCAAGTGTATATTTGGACTGCAGGACAAGGAAGTTGCAATGAGAATGATTTAAAAGACCTCATTTTGTCCCTACCCATCTATAACAGTGTATTAGTATTAAATATTGACCGTTTTTTAATTCTGCATTCCAAGGCCGCTCCTTGGTTTAAATTAATTAAACATGACCATCTAAGATCTGATTACTTAGTTTCCATCCCTAATTACACCCTTAGGGTGGCCTTTACAGCCCTTGGTTTCCAAACTATACAGCCTTATTAACTGGCCGTTATTCCCATATTCCAATGGAGCAGTGTCTGCATCTGTGGATCACTGAAGTAAAGAACCTCTTGCACTGTATTCTTCATTGTTCATTATATTGTGAGCTTAGGGAAAATTTTTGTCTAGTATACTATCCACCTCCAATGCCTACTCTGATCCTGAAAAGTTGTCAGATGTTGATGTGCACGTGTCCTACCGAGTCTCTCTTTTTGCTCTTGCAGCTAAAAAGATAAGAGCTAGGGAGGCTTTGAGGGGGACACTGTCTTGAATCACATCTGGTCTGTCTTTTATTATTATGTTTTAATGTTTGATTTATGGTTTTTTTGTTAATTCAGTATTTTACTTTGTTAATTTGTAACGGCCTATGGCTAAATACAATAAACTGATTGACTGACTAGTATTAAATAAAGATTTTTCATAATCACTGTTTCTTAGTTGCTTTACTTTTGCTTTTCAGGTAGGAGTTATAAAGCAAATGGAAACTGCTGCTTTGAAGTCTATTGGAGAGAAGAGAAGTTCCCTTTTTGCGCGAAAATTAACTGCATTGTATACAAAATCTACCCTTCTAGGAGAAGATATCCTTATATTTTAATTGATTGGGATGTTTTAATCAGGAGCAACTGCAGTAAAGTCAAAATAATGTAACATATCCAGTTTGTATTTCTATACCTACAACATTTGCTTTACATATTCTCTCTGGCTACAATTCTGCATCTCAGAATAAGTGCACTTGAACTTACGTGACTCCTGAGTAAAGAAGTAGTGAGTTGTCACCATATTAACATGTTCATTCCTTTTCCCCCCGCTGTCCCACCAGCTTTGTCAAGCTAGAAATCAAGGCCTTCCCACACCTGACATGTTATTTAGTCAAACACTATTGCATTTTATAAATATATAATGAAACATGTTATATAGATTGGTGATGTTGTCATACCAATATTCTGCATATATTTTTGTCCAGGTCATAAAGCTGGAGAAAGTCAGCCAAAATTATCTGTAGGATTGGCTCTGGGAAAAGGCAAATACATGTGGGGACTTTTAGTTTAGGTAAACAAGAAAAACAAAAATAGTAGAATAGTTTTCTACCACAAGTCCTGTGAAAACCAGAATATGTTCTCTATTTTTTTATAATACTAGAATTCAGGGTGACCCAAATGAATCCTGATAGGAGTGAAGAAGAGGTTTTTTTTTGTTTTGTTTTTTTTTAGCATAGTGGCTTGGTTGAGATGTCATTACCTCAAATAGATAAAGAGCTACAACTTATTTAAAAACATGTTTTCTTAACATTTGGTAAATGTGAATCCTCTTCTGAAGCATGATAATCTTTTGGAAGCTGAAGAAATACTAACTGATGTCTGTGATAATTATCTTCTTTGTATTTCTGAAAGCAAAGAAAATGTAAGGAATAAGAATCAGAACATTGTCATAGGCATAGTGGTAAGTATTATCGAGGCATTTCTGTGGTTCAGAGACTTTTTATATTTGTAATTGTTCATAGCTTGAAGGGGTTCATGAAAAAGTTTACAGTGACTGGGGGTTTGCAGGACATGACAGCTTATCATGGGTCACAGGGTAGCTGTGCTATGCAAACCTGGACTGCTTCCTGTAGGGTGACTTTCTTGAGAACTAGGACACTCTGACAACTCACGACTTGTTCTTGGGGTTGTTGACTTCACAGTGAGTATTATCTGAACCTGAACAACTAGCTGCACTTACTTGTGGGAAGTTGTAAGTGAGCCACTTGGCAACAGCAGCAAAATTTTTCTGCTGATACCAAGTTTGTCTTTGCTAAGGATAACTGTTCCACCAATATCAGAAATGCTCTTTGAATACACATCTGTAGCCAGCTGTGAAACCACCTGATAGTTGTTTCATCTTGCCCACTTTTAGCAAGTTTGCTGATCAAAATGTCATGGGGCATTTTATCAAAAGCTGTACTGAAGACAAGATGTGTTATGTACTCAGCATTCCCACAGTCCACCAGGGAGATTACCTGGTCAAACAAAATGAGCTTAAATTTGTTCTTGATAAATCCATGCTGGCTTTATGTAATTGTTTCATTGTCTTCAAGGTGCTTACAAACTGACTATTATCTGCTCCAAAATTTTCCCAGGGAATGATGTCCTACTAACTGGTGTATAGTTGCCCAAATCCTCCTTTTCCTCCGTTTTGAAGAAAATCCTTCTTCATTCATCTGGCACTTCATTTGTCCTCCATGATTTTGCAAAGATAATAGACAGTGGTTCTGAGAATTCTTCTGTCAGTTCCTTTATTACTCTAGGATGCAGTTTCATCATGCCCTGGAGATTTGCACTCATTCAAAGCATTTGGGTGTTCCTTGACCAGTTGTTTATTAATTGAAACTTCAGACCTGATGCTTCGGTTTTACTTAATTTCCACTGTTGGGGGGTGGGGGGGTGCAATCATAGACCTACTTTTGGAAAAGACCTGAGCCAAAGTAGGAATTGAGCACTTCAGTCTTTTCTCTGTCATCTGTTATCAATGTGCTCTCACTGAGAAGTTGAACCACAATTTCTCTGTCTTTTACTGTACACATACTTGAAAAAAGTTTTGTGTTCTTTGTGTTCCTTGCTAGCTTCAGCTCATTCTCAGCCTTAGCCTTCCTGATGTCATTCCTGCACTTCTGTGCTACATGTTTGCACTTTTCTTTTGTTACCTGGTCTTGGATAATGGATATTAGTCATGATAGCAGAATGAAACCTGTGAATGCTTAGTGCTGCCTGTGAACACCCAAAGGCTAGCTGATACCAGAAGCAAAATAGTGGAATTAATAAATTAGTCCAATTCTATCTTAGTTCTATGAAGAAGCCAGAACTCTTTTAGTGATAGTGCACATAATTATTAAAAGTGGTTTACTTTGATGTAGCAAATAGTTGCTAATCTGTTCTCACTACAAAATGTGTATATGAAGCTTTTTCTTAGTGAATGGTGGAAAATTCCTGTCTGTGGCACTTAGCACCTAGATTATGATCACAGGCTAAAGTTCTGCATGCGGTTAGGCTTCTCATAATGCCCGATACCTATAATAGGGTGTTATGCCTCTTTTATTTAGGAGTGAAACCTTTGTGTGCGTGAGACACAAAGATTAAGGAAGGCCAGTTAGTGCCAAAGCTTTATAATGTTCAGGGGACCAATTTTATTTATCCTTGGCTATATAACAGGAACCTGGAGAAAACATAGGATCAGTTCACATGACATGACAGCCCACCATGGGTTAATCTATCCTTGAGTTCCCTCAGTGCATGCCAGCTGCTTTTAGGAATATGCAAGTCCCAGTTGGGGTTTGCTGTGACTTGTCATGTGGTGTGATCTAGTCCTGGCTTCTAACAGGTAAATGAATCCATAATAGCTATTGTGTCATGCAAGCTGAGTAACTGAATTTATGTGTTGCATAATTTATTTCTGGTGGTGCAGTATTAATATTTTGAGATGTCTCTGTTAAAACACTCTTGTAGGATTATATGAAGTGTATTTGTGATAACAAACTTATTTAAACTGTTTATTTTTTGTGTCTTAGTTTTCTTTTTGTTTTCTGTTACATTCATAATTGGCATAATAAGAAAGCAAGGATTTTCTTAAAAAAATGAAAAAGTATGATATTTTTGCTGCTGAATTATTAGAGCTATCTTCAAGCCTACTACATTTCTGTGTTCAGTAACAGTTACAAAGGACATACACACATCCATTGAATTGCATAGGCTTCTGCTAGTAGTGGAATGCTGTGAATTGTAAACTTTTTTTATCTAAACATGCATAGGATTGCATCCTTAATAAATTAATTGTGTGATCCCTTACCTTGCTGCTCAGAAATACTGTTGCATTCAGTGGGGCTTACTCTCAGGTAAGTGGATATAGGATTGCAGCCAAATATTTGATTATGTTTAAATTTGCTTTTTCAGGCTGTCCAGCCTACTACAGGAGAAGTTATCTTTGACAGTTTTAAGGATTCTGCAGTTCGTTTAGAGTTGGAAAGTCTAATTTTTCGCTTGCGGCCTGTTGAGATTATTCTTCCTAAAAATGTATCAGATCAAACTGAAAAGCTCATCAACTCTGTGACTTCTGTAAGGTAAACTACTAAGTAGTAAATAAATTTGATGTTTTGATGTCAGTACAGTGCTAGGTCTTGAGGAACACCAAGTCAACGTTGAGAAGATGCAGTAAAAATTAAGCTCAGAACCGAGGTTAGGTGAAAACATGCTGAATTTGAAAGGAAATGGAAAACTGTAGTCAAGACACTTGCAGTCTGTTGAGTAAGACTGTTAAGTTGTTTCTATTAATAATATTAACCCAGAGAAATGTACAGGTATTAACAAGTTTAAATTTAAAATTAAAATTTGAACCTTAGCTCAAAATTAATGGTTTGCTAGGTAATGAATTAGTTGATTATATTCATGTGTCAGTTTATACAATTAAAAGTAGTTCAAGAAAAATCAGAGCAAAAGAAACCCCACCAAAAACAATATAGAATAACATATTCATTAAAAATCATATTCATCTAAAAGTTCACCTGAATGACCAAACCAAAACCAGTAATTAGTTCAAAGTAAGGTGGCAGTCAAGAAATTCAAAGAAGACAGAGACTTGGAAGGGCAGCAATGAAGGAACTAAAAAGTTTATCAAATGTAAGAATGTTTTACTGAAAAGAGCATCCAAACTATGTATTCTGAATCACACACCATGGTGTGAAAGCTGAAAGAAAGCTGACAAGGAAATGGATGCATTTGAAACATGGTGCTGGAGGAGAACTTTGTAAATGCCCTTGACTGACAGAAAGACAAACAAGTGGGTCTTAGATCAAATCAAGCGAGAGCTTTCCCTAGAAGCAAAAATTACAAAACATAGGCTGTCATACTTGGGCACACCATGAGAAGGCAAGACTCACTGGAGAAGGCAGTTATGCTAGGGAAAGTTGAAGGCAGAGGAGGAAAGGAAAGACCAAATATGAGATGGATTGAATTCATAAAGGAAGACACAGCCTTGCATTTGGAGGAGCTGTCATGGACTGGACATTCTGGGAGTATGTGGGTTGCCGCAAGTCAGAGATGACTTAATGGTGCACACACACATGATTCCCCACTAGAGGGCATCTTATACTGTTTTTATTCCTAAGTATATTCTGTAGGTACAATTTATTCTAAAGTACTCATTTCAAATCATTGTTTTTAATGGAAGAATTGAAGTATTTATTTGTTCTAGGGCTCTCTATATCATCTTTCAAAGACTTTCCTGGGTGGGGGCATAGAAGAAGATATTCAGAAAGAAATCTTATGCAGTTTAAGAACAGTTTACCAAAACAACAACAATTGCAGAACAGTATTAAACTAACATCAACTGTAATATCCCTGTTTCTGATATTGGGGAAAATGCATTACTTCATGAAATCTCAGCAGTTGTTTTTGTTATTACTTACTCATCTCATTTCTATAGTGCGCAATAGTTGAAGCTTTCTGGGCAATTTGCAGCGTGAAAACACATATCATAATACAATACAGCCAGCATTAATAGTTCAATCTACAAACTTAAGATGGAATTTAAAAATCTTTGAGCAGCAGTAAACAATTTTTCAGTATAGCTAGTTTTGCAAAAAAGTAGCCCATATACAATTAGATGCTATTGAATGTGTTGAAGAAAATGGCAGTTTTAATATGGTACCAAAAGGTTAGCATGATGCCAAGTTCTACATCCAGAGAAGGTAAAGTCTGCTATGTTCAATTTTCTAGTAAGTTGCTCTCTCATCTGTGCTGACTGTTTTTTAGCATGTTCTTCCATATCTTTTTTTTAGCTGTAACTTACTCATTCCTTTCTGATGTTTTTATGTATACCATTGCATTTTTGCAGCTGCTATAAGTGGAATACCCCATGGGGTTTGGCATTTTGCATTTTAAAAATCCAAGCACCATCAGGGGTGCTCCACAGGTCATCATTCATTACATGTGAATCCAGCCTGGGTGGATTGTTGTGCTGGTTAACAAACCACCTAGAGCTCATGGCCTGTTTTAAGGTTGTAGGTGGTGAAATTCTATATTCTAGGAAGGGTGCCTCAGTGCTTTTTTCTTATATACTAGTAGGGATGATGTGTTTCTGGAAATAGGACATTGCTAGCAGAATGTTTTGTATGTTTTAATCAAGCTGCAATAAACCAAAAATATGACTATGCAAAATATATATACTGTGTGACATTAAGATTTGCCACAAGGTTTTTTTAAGTTTTATGCTATTAATTGGCATCTAACAGCCTGCAGTCATCATTACTTGAACCAGCTGTTAACAGTCAGCTGCTTATTAATTGGTCACGTTAGTTCATGCAATAAGCACTGTTGTTCTCTACACACTTTTCAGGTTTCTTATAACTACTTATTTTTAAGATTTTTAATCTGCCAAGTCACAGACATTTTCTGGGCAGATTACCAAAGCTAGTCCAATATACTGCAGAAAAGTTAAAATTGTAAGTTGTAATAGGAAATAATAAACAGCATGGAAGTAGATAAAAATATAAAAAGACAGCCATAAATTCACAATGTCTGAAAGAAAAGGAAGGTATTAGCCTAGTGCAACAACAAAAATAATAATGTAGGTGCCAAGCTAGCTTCTTTGGGGAGAGTATTCTTCAAACAGGGACTGTAATCAAGAAGCTCCCTCTCTCATAGCCACCCACCCAGCTTTCTTGGATGGGACAACCACAGTAGGTCCTTTGAATATAACCCAAGGGTCAGAGCAGCTACTATATAGGAGGAAATATTTATTTATTATTTATTTGGACAACTTGTATGCCTCCCCATTCACATAAGCTTCGGGGCGGCTTCCAGGACATAAATAAATATATTTCTGTACAAAATACATAAAATACTGGAAACATCCTGGCAGCAGATTTAAAATCAATAAATAAAATCAACAGTTAAAATAACGTTTAAATAAAAAGGTCTTGGCCTGGCGCCAAAAAACAAATAATGACGGCGCCAGGCGGACCTCTCTGGGGAGCGCATTCCATAAGTTGGGTGCCACCCACAGAGAAAGCCCTCCTCCGGGTACTCACTCTCCTAATATCTTTCATGGAGGGCTCCCGGAGAAGGGCCTCTGCCGCTGATCTCAAGGGGCGGGAGGGCACATACGGATGCAGGTGCTCCTTCAGGTAACCAGGTCCCAAGCTGTTAAGGGCTTTGTAGGTGATAACCAGCATCTTGAATTGGGCCTGGACTTCGATGGGAAGCCAGTGAAGCTGACAGAGGACTGGAGTCATGTGAGCACAATGCCCAGTCCCTGTCAGCAACCTGGCAGCTCTATTTTGCACCATCTGAAGTATCTGGACCGTTTCCAAGGGCAGCCCCACATAGAGCGCATTACAGAAGTCTAATCAGGAATGAACCAATGTGTGTGTCACTGTTGCCAGGCAATTGTTCTCCAGGTAGGGATGCAGCTGATGGATGAGCCGAAGCTGGAAGAAAGCGCTCCTTGCCACCGCTGTTACTTGAGCGGTGTATTTAAATATTCCATTAAATACTCTGGTTTAGGGATCAAAAGATCCATGCTAACGCTTCGAGCTTGGAAATGAACTGATAGCCAGCACATGGATGAACTACTGGCAAAAATGAGATCATTGACTAGTCCTGGTTAGGTTAGTAGCATATTATCTGTTATTTTGAATGAAAAGAATTTCCAGAAACCTGCCTCATATTTACAGTAATCCAACTGGGAAGGTATCAGAATGCCAATAGCTTTTCTGAGGCTGCATAGGAGTCACAGTTGATATATTAAGTTGATCAAGAACATTCCTAGCCACCAAGGTCACCTATTACATCCTTCAAATACTTGATACAGCAGGACCCCCCCCCCCCCACACCCACAGCTGTCCCAGTTACCAAGGTTTCCCTTACCCAAGGTTGACTTTCAGCCATCCACATTCGCAGAGTTAGGGACACAGGTCTCCCTGAAAAGCCATGAATATCTCTAGGGCATGACATACTCTGTTTGGAGACACCCTGCTCTTTGTCATGGCACTAGCCAGCTGCCCTCATGTGTTTTGTCTCTCAGTGGGTGTAAAGACTCTAGAGACATTCACAGTTTTCGTTGAGAGATTTGTAGTTTTCCATTTTTGTGAGGGTCTTGTGCCCCCAACCCCCATGAGTACCAGGTTCACTATATCCACTGGGAGGGCTTGGAACCTGTCTCAGTGGATATGGGGGCCCCCTGCTCTAATTCATTCTCCTCTGAACTGCTGGCAGTAGTTGCTTTCACTAGCCCGTTTGGTACTTTTGTGACCAGGATCTGTCCTCACTGCAGCATATCCATGGTGATTTAGTTGTCAATGTCTTATATAATAAAGACAGTCATCAGCATCACTGATTTATCTGAGAGCCTCTTTATTTGGTTTACATTTGCACAATCTGCTGTAGTCATATATCAATTTAAGCCATATTGATTGCATGTTATTGATTTTTCCCACAATCAAATCTTCAGTTCCATTACCTTTTGACTGTTGGGAAAACTTTAAAGATACTTACACAATATATTATAAAATATGCACCATGTGGGGAATAAGAAGCTGAACTAGATAGGTCTTTGGTATGATCCAGGATGGCTGTTCTTGTATTCTGCTAAATGAGAGATAACATTAATTGAACCTTCTTCTTTCACTACCCTGCAAGTTACTCATCCCTTCTATAGTGTTTGTGTGTTTTCTTTCCAGTTTCACTATATAGGCTGTTTGCCTGGAGGTGATTCAGGCATGTACCCTTACAGTGTAACAGCTCAATTTGTATCCGACTGACAAGGTGCTCAGACTGAGAAGTCAGGCCAGAATCATCAACTTTATCAGACCAGGTGTAACTAGGTTATTGCCTGCAATAACATCTTTTCTGCTCAGTGCCTTGGACATTCCTGGTATTACTTTTGTCACCACTTCTTCCTAGTGTTTCTCCTTGTACACAATAGTAGGAAAAGACAGGGATGGAGAGGAAGAAGCAGCAGAGAGAGGGCGGGAGCCAGTAGCAGAAGTGAGTGAATATTTTTGTTGTTCTCTGGCTTGGAATGACCCTGCCCATTCAGGCTGGTTATTGGATCCTCATGGCC